TTGAATATTATGTTTTATTTTCTTTACTTTTTTTGCTGTTGTCTTAAATAAACCGCGTCTGCATGTTTGCCGATTCAGATGTCACTGTGAGGTAAAGCACAGCACAGCCGTGACGTGGGGCTGCTTCTGGGGCCGCTTCTGGGGCCCTTTGGCCTTTTCACACTCATTCGGCACCAGCTCTGTGCTCACAGACAGCCGACTGTCTGGGCTAATTGCTCTGTCAGCCGGTTTACAGGGTCTGTAAGCTGGATTTCAGCCCATTAGAGGAGATGTGGGGCAATGAGGCTCCTCCGAATGCACAGAGCTCTTCTTGTCTTTGGGTTTTCTGTGTGTAGTTTGCTTTTTGGGGTTTAGATTATGTTTGTTCCTCTTCATGAGACCTCGCCCCCCATCCTGTGTTTGTATGTTGAGTAATAAACTCATTTCTGCTCCTTTGACCTGCCTTGTGATTCGCTTCCACCCAACACTGTCACAATTTTGAACAAAAATGTTTGTTTGCATTTTTCAATGTAATGAGCTGAAGTCGCCCGCAGCCTCCTGCCTACGAACGCCAGCGACTGCCTTAGCAAAGGAGCTCAGGCGGCTGGCAAATGGCCGAGCGCCACACAGCAGCCCCGCACCTGGAGTGTCCCTCCAGCTCCTCCTGCTCGACCAGCGTGGCCACGATGGGGCCCATCGGCACTTTGTCGGTGAGGGTTAGGGTTAGGGTTAGGTTTAGGGTTAGGTGTAATAGGGTTAGGGTTAGGTGTAATAGGCCACGGTGATGGGGGACAGGATGAGGCGGCTGGCCATGGCGCTCATCTGCTTACACAGCCTCTCCGCGTCCTGGCTGATACGCTGCTCTCTGGCACACAGACATCAGCATCACTCTCCGGCTGTGCAGGCAGCGGCAGTGTGGCCCTCGCTCTTTATCACGCATGGCTTCAGATGGCGCACACTTATTCACACTTCAAAGAGGCCTTCGGGCAGGAAGCTAGGAGGAGCCCAGTGACCCGGGCCGGGCGACGCAGAAAGGGCCGCAACTGCCGTAGCAACAGATTTTTCATGGCACTGAACTACATTAAATGCTAAATCATTACACAGCAGCTGAAGCCAAAGCATCACTGTACACAGGGCCGTGTGAATACAGCCCCGCGTTTGATACACGGGCGCGAGCCAGTCACTGAGCACAGCAGCCGGGGCGTACGGGTTGTCCAGATCCTCACGCAGCACGTTCAGCGTGTAGTAGACCCTGTGTCAGGGTCAGCCCCTGATGTGGTCCTTCCGTGTCCCTTTCCCGTTTGACCAGCAGGCATTGCTGGTCATCCCGTCCTTCATGTTTGTCTTTGAGTTTTCCCTGTTACTTGTCTGGTCATGTGGCTCAATGTGTTGAGCATGTGGTTGTGTACCCTTCTGTCCTGAGTACCCTTCTGTCCTATGTTTGAATCCCACCTCCTGTTTTTGTATTTTGCTCCCTAATGCTTCATTTGAGTTTCTTTAGTTCTTGTGTCTGATTTTGTAGTTGGTTTTGGTTTTGTTCCTTGTGCCCCTGCTTGTGTCTTTACCTGTTTAATTCCCTAGTGTTGCTTTATGTTTCCTTGGTTAGTTCTTAGTTTCCCTGTTTTTAGTTCCTTTGAGTTATTTGTTACACCTGTGCCCTGTTTCCCTGGTCTTTGTTAATTAGTCTCACCTGTCCTGTGTTAGTCTCGTTACCCCTTTAGTATTTTAGTTCCTGCTTCTGTTTAGTTCCTGAGTGGTTCATTGTCTATGATTGTGTTGTTGGTTTGTGTTTCATAGTTGATGGTAGATGGTAGATGTGTATCCGGTTTTTGTGAATTAATCCCTTTTTAGTTTTTCACCCCTCGTGGTTCTTTTTGGTTTTGTAGTTTTTTTCTGTTTTATTTAATAAACCCTGTTTGTCTCTGAGCCGCAAGTGGGTCGTCCGCCCTTTTTGTGCCCGATGCCTCGCTCCCGTGCTCGAGCCACCCGGATCCTTGACACCCTGCCCTGGAAGTAGGAGCCATGAAGTCGCTCAGTCAGAGCCCTCCGCCAGCTCATATACATCAGGCTGCAGATGTACTGGTCCAGGCTCTTCAGCTGAGCGAAAACACAAAACTGCCATCAGACCCTGCAGCTGTGAGCGTACTGCAGCCCGGCCTGCAACATCCAGAACCATGTGTGAAGGACAGATCAGTGTCAGTGTTCTGTATCAGTCCTGCTGCTGTACTCTCTAGCGGACCTCAGCGGGTCTGAAGGAGAATCAGAATTTCACACATTTAACCTGGAAAGTTTCCTTCATGGAGAACCTGGAGTTTCTGAGGTGGTTAACTGACTGTTAACTAGTTTCATAACTGAATTCATTATTAATGGTTACTGGTTAAAGGTTCCCATAAACCCTGTGCATGTCTGACTACAGACTCCTGACCTTTGAACTTACCATGCAGTTCAGCACCAGCAGAGGAGCAGCAAACATCAAGAGGCCTTTAAATCCAGGACAGTCTTTGCTTGGAATGACACCCAGTTGGTAAATTATCAGCCATCAGGCTGGAACGGTGACCTCACATCTCCAGCATGGTGGGTATGAATTCCACGCCTGCTGCGTGTCTGGAGTTTGCATGAGCTCCCTGGTTCTGCAAAGGTCCAAAATACAGCAGGCTGAAGTCACACAGTTACGCTAATTGGCATCTCTGAGTATTTTGTAAGGTCTGACACTGCTACCATGACCAGGATACATGGTTAGAAGATGGACATCCTGAAATGTAACAAATCCTTAACTGATGATGATTTCATAATGCAAAGACAGAGTTTCATGGACAATGTGTAACATGCCCTTGGCTGTAGAAGCTAAGATCGCCTTATCTCTGTGGAGGGCCCCAGAAAAGTGAAGATGTTCACTTCACTCAGATCCAAGAGTGCTCATCTTATTTTTTGTTTCATATTTCTACCACTTTATCTATTATAAATTGAACCTACTCACTACGGAACTCAACTGTCTCAACTTCACAGGCTCCAGGTCATCCAAAGCTCTGCCTCTCGTATTATCACATGGTGTAAACCTAGTGAGCATATCACCCTGATACTCATTCAGATTCACTGGCTTCCTGCCCAGTACAGGACTGAGTATTAGATACTCTTGCTTACTTTCAAAGCCCTTCATACCCTTGCTCCTAGTTACCTGGCTGACCTTTTACACTCTCATACTCTCTCCGCTCCTCCCCACCGGAATGACTTATCATTCCTTCTGTTAGACTCAGCACCATGGGTGACAGGACCTTCAACGCTCAGCACCCAGACTATGGAACTCTCTCCCCCTCAATATCCAGCAACTGAATTCAGTTTAAATCACACCTTAAAACTCATGTTTATATTAGCTTTCTCTATTTCAGGAATTATTTTATTGTCACTCTTGTATAATTTATACTGTGTATGGAGTTTCTTATTCATTGTTGTATTAAAATGGTATTAAGTTGTTTAATTTGTGTAAGGTAATCTATAAATAAAATGTATTATTATTATTAATTAAAACAATTAATAATAATAATGATTTTCCCTGTGCTTATTGGAATATCCCCCAGGATTGATGTCCATTGAGTGATTGGTAATGAAAAATTGTTTTATTTTTTGGCTATTTGTCTAATCATGCTTTTACTTATGCTTTAATATTATGGTGGTTTGTCAATAAGGGTGTTATACCTGCTTAAAAAGGCAAGTTCTGAAGCCGGCAGATTTACTGACTGAAGTTCATTAATGGGCCTAATATCTATTTATAAACAGCAAACAGCTCTAGCTGTACATTAGCTGCACATAAGACCCTGACCAGGATGAGCTGTTATAAGTTGGATGGGTGGATGTATCTGTGACGTTCGGGGAGATGAAGGACCCCAGTGCAGCTGTGGAGCAGGAACTAAAGCAGCACAGGCCAATCTTATCCACAAAGGGCCGGTGTGTGTGCAGGTTTTTGGGGTAACCTTCAGGTCAGCTGTTCAAACCCAGGTGTGAGGACTCTTCAGCCAATCAGTCCTCTAATTAGTGATGTGATTACAGAGTTACAGTGAGATCTGCACACACAGCGGCTCTTTCTGGGTAAGATTGGCCACCCCCGGACTAAAGGGCTTTATTATGCCAACAAGAGGGAAGGTTTGGATTAAACTGACACAGAGAACTCAGGCAGGGAATGGCACTGGGAACGACACCGATGACAACGACCGGACTGGGGAGCAGGTAGTGATATATACAGAC